TGTTAAAGAGAAAGTAGGCGACGTAAATTTTATAGGAATTTCAGTCTTTTTCCCTCCACTCTCTTGTCTTCCGTTTCCTGCTCTTCTCCTTTTTTTTTCCATCGCTTGGAGTGATTTCAAGGCCCACGGGAGTCGTGAAATCATAGTCTATATGGGTCATTTGGTGCAAAATATTGCTACAGTTTACATACATCCAGTCGTATACATATGAAACGATACAATTTGAATATGATCGGTGTGGTACTTGGTACTACGAGGATCTAGGTTTTCGATTAGCTACAAAGTTCCTCTGAGATCGATCACTAAATTGTCTTTTTGTTCTTTAATTCCTGTATTGCTTAGAGCAATAAACAAGAAAAAAAAACCCCAAATTTAATTGTACAAAAATAGATAATGAAAAAAATCGGTGCCTGATAAAAATACTTGTCAATAGCTTCAGATTTCCTGATGGCACTTGAGTTTTCCATCTACAGAGTTACAGAAGTTGGGGCCATTATGAACTACGTAATATACAGAGCTAAGTAGAAATGCGGCGTGACAGTTTTGCTGGATAACTTTCATTTGAATGGTTATACGCGAAGGTTTCGTTTCAAAGACCTAAAAGTTAAAACATCCTTGCACAACGTAATAAACAGTTTCACTTCAAAGTTCATCTTAATAGCTTCCACTTGAATGTCGCTCTCATAGAAAGAGGTTTGATTCATAGATCTACAGTCCTCTAAATCATGTTGTTCTAATCCAGTTCAATTCTTAGGAAGGGATCATAAAGTACATTACAACAGTCACTGTGATAACTACTATTGTGAAAAACCAGAAGAAAATTTTGTCGATGATTTGGGCAGCTGCCTGCCATTTCTTTTTCTTTTCTTCTTCACTTTGATCAACTGTCAAAGAGTTCGCAACTGCATCGAGCTTGGCGATAACTTGATCCATTTTACGCTCCATTTGCGCGGGAAACACGAATTCTTGGGGAGCACCATTCGGCGAGCGGCTTTGCGGACTTGAATTTCCGCTTTCTGATGTTTTACGTCGCTGTACGGGAAAGTACGTTGGCCAGCGGTCTGCGACCAAAGTCACCGGAGTATATTTTCGTTTTGGTGGATCTTTTGGGGTTTGTTCCGATTCAGGATTTTCCCTAAGGATTTTAGCAAGAACTTTGAAGACGAAGAATTCGAAGGTTGTGGACATCTTTACTGACGTGTCACGATGATAAATCCACAAAACCAGGCATGTGACAACCAGTGAACAACCTAGCAAAGCCATTATGGCGGTGGAATATTTAGTCAACAGCGGCGTGACTTCTGAAGTGGGTGGTATGTTTTCTGTGAATATGAGTGTGTATACAGTCAAGCCCAGGAGAATCGTTATGATCAGCGAGATTCTCTCACCGGACTCGGGAGGCAAGAAGAACGCAAACACCGTCAAAATCGCGAGCGCAACGCAGGGGAAGATCAAATTGTTAAGGTAAAAGAGCACCCTTCTGCGCAGAAGTATTGAGTAAGTGATGTCTATAAACGGATCTGGACAGCAACTGTACTTAACCACATTACGCACGGCCTCGGCTTTCACCAGATCCCATTCACCACTGACAATGTAGCCCGATAGATCCACTTCTTCTCGGGCGAGCTTTAGGTTTAAAGAACCGCTGGTGTACGTCCATGAGCCGAACACCATGGTGCAGCGCTGCTCGTCGAAAGGAAAGTACGTGATGTCGATTTTGCAGACGGTTTTTACTTCGGTCGGGGCATACCATTGACACGAGCCATTGTAGTTTATAACAACTTTTGTGTTGAACTTGTACATTTCACCACTGTCGCTCTGAATGCTGGACGGTAACGAAAAGACAGTTAATAAAAATATTAGAAAACAACATATCAAATGGTTACATGTCTATCAAAACATCAAATGTCATTGCATGTCTGTAACACCGTCGTCTGCACGCAGTGCGAGCCTATAACGTCTTCTCTTCAAGAGAAGACGATAATCGTCTCATGTATGGTTATAAAATCTTGGGTGTCGTTAAAATAAAGAGTTCTCGTCGACAACAACAATTTACAGCTGTTTTTGTAAAGAGGAGCAGACCTAATAGTCAATGAAGAGCTAGAAAATGAGGTGGGGAAAGAAGTCCCCAGCAAAGCCAGACAGTTATCTTTACAACTTGACATTCGACGCTTGCCGGGCATCATCTTCATAACTAATTATCAATCTGCCAAAGGTTTTCCCCTTAAGATTCAGTTCAAATTCTTACTGAATAAGGTACGAGTCCCAGAGTTGCAAAGCGGATAAAAATAGTTTATTACTGGCTATGGAGCTAAATATAACCGAATAACAAATAACTAGCATGAGCTCCCTCTGTCATCCTCCTATACTGGATGTCGGATGAAACATTTTTACCTGTTGTAAAGAACAATGTCGGGTTTCCAAACAAGCTTCGGGTCGATGTTGATAAATTTTACACCGCCATACTTAGTTGGGTTCCATCTTAAGAAGGGGTTTTCCCAGGACTGAAACAAAAACAGAAGAGTCAACTGGTAATTTGCCACTTTAGAAATGAGAAGAAGCCTGAGGCAACTCGCTAATTTAGTTAGTTAGTTAGAAGTCTTTATTAAGAAATCAGTCACAACATACGTGTGGCTTTACAATCAATAACAAACTAAGCTAAACTAGAAAAAACCTATCA